GTTAGGCTTAAATCATCTTATTTTAGCCTACGTACTTATATCCTTCAAAAATCAAAGAGTTGGAGCTCTCCCAAACTAGCCCTTTGATTCTTGCTAGGATCAAATTCTTTTGCTCAATCCAAGATCCTAGAATCTAAAATTAGAATTAAACCCATTATGGGGGAAAGAAAGGGTGAGCAACCAGCTATGTCAAGTGGCATCTGCTTGTTGGTTGTGGTGGGAACAGTTTTTTTTCATGAGAAAAATGTTCTTTTTTTTAAGATGGAAGTGAGGCTTTTCTTTTGTTTTCTTTTCGAGATGGATGTGAGGGCCACGTGTCATCTGCTGGTTGGTTGAGGTGAGAGTTTTATTCTTTGTGCGATGGAGGCTAGTTTTTTTTTCCTTTTTTTCTTCGAGATGGAGAAACGAGCGCACACCTTCATCTTAGGCGGCGCGCAATTGTGCACCCCAACCATTACTGTCTTGTGTAACACGCCTTGACGCAATTATCAGGGGCGCGCTCTACCACTGAGCTAATAGCCCGTCGCGCGGGCCTCCCAAAGGGAGGCCTGCTATGCCAAAAGCGAGAAAATCGCCATCCCTTTCCTTTTGACTTTTTTTCCGTTGTTGCACCTTAGCCTGGTATAGTAGAAGGCGATCCATGCTATTCATGAGTTGATAAGCTCCATTCCATCGATAGGGATCAACCCAGCTGCATTCGCTATCCTTTTTTCTGGGATCTGCTCTTTTCAGTGGAAGGTTTGAGGGAAGGTAAGATTAGTGGGTCAATAACCTGCTTAGCTTTCCAAGTAAGGCAGTGAAGTTCCATATTTCTGTATATTTCTTATCCCGGGATCTGCTGCTCTGTTCCCTTAGATGCAATAGTTTACTGATCCGGTTTTCCCTAATTTCAATATTAAGGAAAGGAGAGTGAGGTAGTCGGCGTTGTGACACTCTCAGGCTGACCGACCCCGGCAGAATATCTGGTGCCCGAGAGCTCTTGAGCCATTTGATCTCAGATGTTCACGGAAAGAGCTCACGAATTTTTGCAAAACCCCCCGAGTAGTCTGATAATTACATCGAGGCCTGACAGATATTTATATGTCCGTTGGATATAGATCCAAGAGGAGCGCTCACGTTGGAGCACCTGAAGCATAGGATATTCTCTCGACCGACCCCCATGATGCACAGGGGCAACTGAACATTGCAATTTCAATCGGTCACAACTTCAGCAAACATCTATATCACTACAAGTACTGAAAAGCAGGGTCAATGACGATGGCCGTAACCTTCCTCAGCCCTCGTCTGAGTCACTGTTTTTGAGTTGAATGACTTGTTGTAAAAAAAGGTCGACTCAACAACGTGTCGACTAGTCGATGAGTCGCGAGTAGTCTCAACTGCAGGGTCGACTATTCAAGAGTCGCTCCCCCAGAACGACTTGTTGACTCGAAAACCTTGGTCCGAGAATCTTCACTAGACGCGACGACTGGTGCATCCGACCCGGGGAATGTCGACGAGGCGCATGATTTTGTGTCCCAGGGTTCATCGGTGCGGCGTGCGACTGCTTGGCTCCGGCTCCCTCTGTGTCGCGTTTGGCTGTGGCTGAGACGTTCCTGATCCAGTAACCTCGTAGCCACCCTTCTGTTCGGAATGGTTGTGCTCGGGGGAGGGACCTCCCTCACGCCATCATCCTTGTGATCGTCTAAGAGGCCCAGCAACTAATCCATGCCTTCCAGCCTCTCCTCTTGGACCACCGCATAGCCTTCGTCCAGGGGCGGAGCCAGGATTTAAACATGAGGGGGCGAGACACCATTGTTGACGCAAACGACAGAATATCACAATATATTAAGTCTCACGATAGCATTGATGATAATACATAAAATTATTGTTTGGAACTGTAAAAATATATTATTATTAGTAATAATGTTGGAGCTTGAAGTTGAACCAATTGGTTTGAAAAAGAATTTACCCCATTTGTTGTTGATGTCTTCGGCTTGATCTTTGACTAGTACAAATATTCACATAATTACTAGACTAATTTACTTTTTATAAGAAACATTAATTAAGCAGATTAAGGTAGTAATTTATCAAAAAAAATCCCACTCTATTTTAAAATAATTGAAGCTCTAAATTTGTTCTAAGTTAAACTTCTTCAAGTTTTATCAAGTTTGCAGAAAAATATATCAATATTTGAAACAGCATAGTTTTATTAGAATCTTATAGAAAAATATGCACACTATGTATATTTAATTTTGTAGATCTTACCATATTTTTCTATAAACATGATTAAACTTAAATTGGTTTTACTTAGGACAAACATAGAACTACAATTATTATAAAACAGAGAGAGTAATAATTATTATCAGTGTAATATAGCTTCATGTATTCTGCTCACCCGAGATCTAGCCATATTTGATCCGCCTGCGTCGAGCCGTCCGCCCATGCCCGTGCGTCGACGGCGTACTGCAGATCAGTGGTGGCTGGTGTTGTTGTCAGTGTCGAGTAGCGGCCAGCGGTAATGGCAAACACCCTAGACTCTAGCAGGGCACGCTGACGGCAAGCGGCGGTGGCGAAGAACGACCTAGCAGAAGTGCAGAACACGCATGTGCGTACTGATGGATGAGGCACTGGGCCGTGGTAAAATAATAGCCAGCCACCATCGTACATGGATTATTGGATGGGCTTCTCTGCTTTGGTGCTGGTCCAGTTAATTGTTATATATGGGCTTATGTTACGCTAAAAAAGAAATGGGCTAATTATGTATTTAGCTGCGGCTGTTAGGCATATAATACGCACTACCTGCTACAAATCCTTGAGGGGGGCGAGCAATTGGCAGGGGTCTGACCCCTGCTTGCCCCTCCCTGTCTCCGCCCCTGCTTTCGTCATCAAATATGACCTCCAGCTGAGGCATCGGAGCAGCCTGACCGCCGGAACGGGCTGCATGGAGGGGAGGATAAGAAATCCTGTGAAGTGAAGATTTGTATTTAGTGTGAGAAACATATAGAAGACATTGCTTTACCATTTTTTTGAAATCCTGCATATCTTGTATGAGTTGGTTGGACTTGTACAAGATTAACTGTACCAATGCTACTTATGTTTAAAGGCTCAATGTCATCGCCGAAGAAAACAGGACAACTTGGAATCTTGCTTCGATTTCTGTCAGCGTTGTTACGTTGCAGTCAGAACAAGGGGGTGCTAGAACGAGGGGATGCTAGAAGGAACACTAGTGTAAAGGGACAAACACTGTTCTTTTACAGTCATTTTCACAATTAGTTCTCATTTTTTTTCTTAATTATTGAAACTATGGAGTACATTTTTTGCTTTCTTCGTTTCTATTCCCCTGGCCTTTCTGGAAGTGCTTTTCTGAAGTTGAACTTTGGTTATAACAGTCTGGTAGGTTTCCAATAGAACTCGCTGCACAGCGCGGTACAAGGGAAGGTGTTGAGATCTTATTTCCTGTAACTTGTATTCCAACTGTGCATGATTGGAGCGTTGACGGAATAATACAGCATGCAAGAGTGTCTAGGAAACAGGTATGCATTAGATCCTGTTTATTTTATATATTTTTCTAGTTTAACCTTGGCATCAACTGTTAATCCATAGCTTCCCGGTTAGAATTACCATAAACAAATTAGCATTTCATTTTGCCTCTGATTCGATGAACACGAATTTTATACATGCTATTGATAATCTTTTAAAAAATTCTTTGGTTGGGGGTTGATGGGCTTGTGAAGTTATTTGTGTGTAGAAAGTGCTAAGTTAGTAGTTTTATTTTCTAGAATACGCAGGAGAACGGCATGCCATTGTATTGAGGAAAAAAAGGGTGGATGATCAATATAGTGCAGATCAAGGTAGATGATTGCTGAGCCCAGCTTAAGTAGTCTTATACAAGAAACATAATAGCCACCATATTCACGGTGGCCTACT